TTATCGTGGTGTTATAAATTCGCTTCATCGAAACTTCAGATTAAGATCAAGTCTTCGAACTGTACCCCGAACAAGTGGCAAAGCTTTCCTGCAATTTCAATGCAAAATCCTCGAAGATAAGTCTCCTAGTCCTTTTCCTTTATTACCAACCTCCAAAGAGGATCCGCGGCTCTACAGAGTTCTAAGTGCTTTGATACACAAAGATGTACTGGACTGCTTACAAATACAAACACTCTTGTCTTTCCGTGAAATGAAGCCAAGTATGAGCCCATGGCAGCCGCTTCTGCTACCACAATGCCAATAGTGAGAACTCCGTATTTATTCTAAGACTGTGACAAATTCAGAAACCCATAAAGAAGGTGCAGAACCTTAAGGTAAGCTGGTGATATATGTTGAGGATCTGCGTAATATAGGTATCAGTGCTTTTTGAGGGAAGTTACATTTAAAAGAAACGATAATTATTAATAAAAAAGACATCAAGTTTTAAGAAATTTAAAGCAAGTATATGGACTTCAGAAAGACATCATTACTGTAAAGACGAACTTCACTACGCACATAGATGCTGACTACTTTTAGAGAGATATTTTATTCTACACAAGGCACTGAGCTGGTGATATACTGAAAAACATTTAAGTCTCGATCCTTTTCGTGACGAAATAATAAGCTTTCACATTCATTTTATTTAAGGTAACAACAAAAACCTATTCTTTTTCAGTTCCAATAGGTAACACTTACCTGTCTTAATTATTAGGTAACACGTAGCTATATAGGACTATAGAATATTGTTATTAGATCATATGAAAATATATTTCACAAAAACTGTTAGAAAATGAAACGGAAAATAGATTAAAAATGTATAATGTACAGTAAACCTTGTAATAATGGCCAATAAAATTAATTTATCGTGCTGATATAACAAACACATTTATGCTAAAAGCACCAACGTTAGCATTTATCGTCGCTTGCCAAAATTGTATATTTTAAGGCATATAATAACTATTCTCCACTGAAGTTAGGCTCTCACTCTTAGATTTCAAAATTAAAAAAAAAAAAAAAAAAAAAAAATATGTGCGAAAGTGAATAAATGTCTCGCAGATGCAATATAAAGTTATCCGTAATGTTGGAAAAATTTCAATATGTCACTTCACACGTTTTAAAAACAGTTTTTAATTATATGTCTGATAAGGTAAACATATTAATGCATTAATTTGAATAAAACATTTCCTTAAATTCCTAAAATAAATGATTAAATATCTCACATTTTTCCTTTGTGATTATTCTTCTTTACTGCTTATTGCAATATCGGCAAGTTACCTTATTAGCAGATAAGTTTTCTCGAGTTCACATAACTTTAGTGCAAAAAACTGTTCAGAACTTTAAATTATATCTTTATATAATAAATGCTTTATAAAATTTCTCGAAGTAACAACCTCCTTTAAAAAATTACATATGTGGCCTATCTTGCTATTTAGAAGCGATTATTTATGGGTGAAATCATAAAAGAAATTTAGATTTATTGAATAAATTATTTTTTGTTTATAACAAATGTTCACATTCATGGTGAGTGGTATGGGCTGATTTTAGGAGATTTTAATGGATATTTCCATGACTAACACGATTATGAGAATGGTTATGTTTCTGTTAAGAGGACTTTGACGAATTGCTGCCTTTATTTTTTCTCTTTTTTCCTATAGTTATAACTACGAACAAACGTCAGCGAGATATTTAAAATACCTAAACTACTCAACGGTATTTAACAATAACAAGTTTCTGAGCCGTATTTTTGATTCGAAATCAAAATCCATAGAACTTTAACCAATTTATAACTCGTGATCGGCAATTCTTGGAATTGATTAGGTGGTCTTTAGGAAGTTCCATTCTAAATAGCTGAAGATCTACAAAATGTTTAATCAGTTAAATTTGACTTACATTTTAAAACTATTTTCAATTTGTTTATGAAATAGAAATCATAATTTCTTTGTAACAAGGTAAGCTTTCTTCAATTAGGAAGCAAAAACCATCAACACGAAAATACGTTATCCGACATTAAAAATGCAAAACCAAGAAGGATTGGCCTGAAAATTATTTAACGAAAATTATTAACGAAAATTAATTAACGTCTACAAAAGAGCATATGTTTTTTTGATTTCAAAATTTCAAGGTAGACGCATGCCACCGAGTTATGCAAATGATGTGAAATGGACAGCTCTCCAGCGCATGTTGAAGAAGATATAAGAGAAGGAACCAACAGAATATTCAATTTTTCGTGTCCTTATTTCTGCTAGGGAAATCATCGTAGAAAATTTATTCTTGTCTCAGAGGAAGCGTGTAATAGCAGAAAATGCCAGGCTGTCGTCAGAGGAGGCCCTTCCAGTAGGCAAACTATCTTACGGGGGGCATGGTGATCGATTTCTTCTACCTCAATTCCGCAGCATGTTCAAGATGCTATGGATATTCCCATATCGTCCAAAACCATTTGCCGTCGATTCGTGGCTACTAGCCTGCACTCTTGGCGTCCGTTAAGAAGACTGCCATTGACACCATCATCGTAGACGTTAACGTCTGCAATGGTGCCGGGTTCGAGCAATGTGGAGGATGGAATTGCACAGGGTCGTATTCTGAGATGAGTCACGCTTCTGTTTCTCCAATGATTGTCTTTGTGTACGAGTATGACGTCGATGTGGAGACAAGTCGAATCCGGCAGCAATTTTGGAACGCCGCACCACACGACAACGCGGCATCATGGTTTGGGGTACAATTGCGTGCGACTTCAGATCACTTCTAGTTCGTGTTCAGGGCGGTATAACGGCTCAACGATACGTGGACAATGTGCTGCGGTCGGTGACACTTCCCTGCCTTCAGGGAGTGCACCGTGCTCTTAATCAGCAGGATAATTCCCGACCAAATACAGTCTGCATCAGCCAATGGGCTCTGCAATGTGTAGATGCTTCCCTGGCCATCAATAGCTCCTGATCTCTCTCCAACCGAACACATTTGTGTGTGATTAGGCGCCATGATGTAGCCGTGTTAAGAAGACTAACTGTGGCAAATGGTAGACAGTCTCGCAGTGCCATCGAGCCATAATCGTCTTCATAAGAAACGAAATTTTAGGGATCACTTTGCCACTTTCTTGAGAAAATTTGCTGGCTGTATTTCATTACGGTTCGTGGGATACCTTTTAAGGTGTTTCAGGATAATACAGTAATAGGAAGAGATTCACACATTAGTTTTGGATAGCAAAATCATCATTTCCTCAAATGTCTGGCAGTCTGTTAAGTATTTCGTGAATTAATTTTAAAAGGTTTTAATTACCATAAACCTAAAATAATTATTATAAAAATTATTATATCTAGTGAGGAACAAATTCATTTTTCAATACATAGGCGAGAAATTGTTTAAGAGGTCCTTTTTGAGAACCGCACAATGAAAGGCTAAATTAGTAGAAACATGATGCATATGCTGATTATAAAAATGCTTTTTCCGTACAGGATTGCTGCTGCTCTCCTTGAAATTGTTGAGTTCTGTTAATAAAAAATTCGTTAAAGGTTTAAAAAATATGAAGTAGGAAAAAAAAGATCTGAAATTATCTTTCTTTTTCAGACTTTGAATTACACTCAAAGGGGGTTTATTGATTTACACACACATACAGGTTTCAAGCGCATTTGGGATAATGTCTATATGAGCTAAAAATATTTAGAAATAGTATACCTTTAGAATTTGCGGTAGACAATCTCGCGCGCTGGAGATAAAAATGCTCTATTCCATACAGTGTTGCCACTGCTAGGTTTGAAATCGTTGAATTTTAATGAAAAATTCATTTAAAATTTTCAAAATATGAAGTAGATAATAAAATAAGTCGAAATTCAAAATTCGGTCTTCTAGAATCCCCTGTTCGAGTAAAAGTCTACGTTTTTCAAAATTTGATGGCTCTAGGTAACACTGTTTTTTTACAAAGTGAGAAATATACATTCATGCAGATTTTTTTTATTTTAATTTCTGTAAATATAATACAGGATGATAATACTTGGTGGCAACAATCTGAAAAGTGATTAAATCCTTTTATTGATTAGACGCAAACTGCCGTTTCGAGACTAATAGCCCTTCTGGGCCAAAGCCTCTTTGGGTTAATAATAAAACAAATTCAAAACATGGGCTTCCAGGTGCTCGTGCTCGGAGGAGTACATTGTTCAAAATTTGATGGCTCTACTAACATCTTGGACTAAAAATTCTTAATTCAAATTTTGGTCTTCAAGGTGCAAAAGTCGGATTAAAGACTTTGTTCACCATTTGGTCGCTCTACGTGCCGTCGTTTTTCAGCAATGCCAGGAATACACACATACATACATATATATGCATAAAAACACACATAATATACATAAAGATTTTCATTATTTAATAATAGAGATTTTTAGGCTGGATATTATGCTGAACATTGACTGCATGTTTACGGCCACTGCATTTAACTTTTTCACTACCAACTATATGATGATAGTATGAGCCCTGCGTATGTGATGATGTTTAGTTGTGCTTTGAATTCAGGAAATATTATTCATTGAACCTCAGGCATTTTACTACAGTATGTTATGAAAAATTACACTTGATTACTCGCAGAAACGTTGAAGAGTAATTTTTTATCTTGCCGGGGTTTTTAAACCTGAATGATGGTACTTTTGATAGAGATGACTATGCCTTTATCTGTAATCAATGCTCATTTTTCAAGTCTCCTGCTTCCAAAAAATCCTAATGTCTCTATACAGTAACCAAACTGCTTTCTGTAATGAAATGCTAACATATTCTAAAAAGAAAAGTCAGTTTTTTTTATTTGCTTTGTTTTTGAAATGTAAATCATAGTTTCACTATAATTTTGTACATAATACTCCTTGAAAGCAAAAGCCCATATATGAAATTTATCTAATTTTAGCAAATATTTTGTCTCTAATACACTTCAGTATTTACTTGATACGAAATTTTATTAACTGAATGGTTTTTCATTATTTCAGAATTTGAAGCATCAAGTGATGACAACGAATGTTTGGGTAGAACAGGTAAGATATCTTTAATTTCATTAATTTTAAAAATTGTACTTAATGACATTCATTAGAAGCTATATATTTACCGATATGTATGTTTCCTTTCATGAATTTTGAAATTTAGGATTAATAACGTCTACAAAAGAGCATATGTTTTTTTGATTTTGTAATTATAAACTCATGCAGTGAATTTTAATACTATTCTAATATCTCATGATTAATAACGGTTTTATTATATAACTACCAAACAGTTACAATAATAACAATAACAGTATGAAAATATTCGTGTAAGTACTATGCTATACAGCAACAAAGTTTGCAGTTAACAGTCTAGTTATTATATTCATTCTCTATGCATAAAACTGCTCGTATGCAACCAAATTATGCATTGCAAATTGATCATATGCACCTAACTGGTAACATATACATCCTTCACCGAGATAACAATAAAGCAAATATAGCTAAGATCTTCGGTGGGGCTAACATTAGCAATATTCAATAAATTTCATAAGATCTTTGTATTTAAATTAATGTCTAGATATATATTTGACATGTGCATATGTGCTTAACGTAGCACGTGCAAAGTATGTATGTATCTTCGTAAATAAGAAAACAATACATTCAAGAAGGTGTTTTTGCCATAGCTAATAGTTGTTTTTTCTTTGGAATTCAGCTTGAGTAAAGGAATTCACTATGAGTAAAGGTTTTCTTTGTGTGGGATTTGTACAGATATATCATTATTTCTTTAGTTCTAGGAACATGTCAAGATGTCTGCTGGTGCTTAGTAGTTACTAGGGCATTTATAGATACTCGTATTTTAGCTTGCGCCAAGCAGCAAGACTTGTATTAGTTACAGTAAAGTGTTGCAATTCGCTATTTACTTATTATCTATGAGTTTTAATTCGGTGACAAAAATGCCTCACATGATAATTAGGGTTGGTTTGATTAGTTTATTGAGATCACGGCAAAGCACACTAGGGCTATCTGCCTAAGAGAAGGGATTCCTTCCCTTAGGCTTGGAGAACTTTCTAAGGGAAACTGGATCGTATACACGTTACACATGGGGAAAACCACGAAAACGCCCATGCAGCCAGCCCGTTTGCGGGATTCGAACCTCGGACCGAACTACCAGTGTTCAGCGACTTTACCGCTCGGCCGCTGATGGGTCAGATAAGAAGGGCCTAGCTAAAGCAGAGATAGGTATAGGTATTGCCATAAGAGAACATGGACACAGGGCACACCAATTGGTCATCAGCTGTTGCTTCGGCTTATTATAATTTTTTAATGTAGAGCAACCATGAAAAATATGACACATAAATCTCTATCCATTGATGCAATATTACAGAGGAATTTTGAAATTTCAAAGAATTTCATAGGTTACGTTAGCATAAAGGATGAATAAATAAATACAGTAAGATTGTAAGGGCATGTTCTCCTTCCTTAAGGATCCCTTCGTAATTCCAAGCACGTTTGGTAAGCATCAGGAGTTCCGGGATTCGAATTTCGCACTGCACATTTTCTTGTTTCCTGCTTCGACAAACCAAATGATTCTACAAGCGCATATATTTATAATAAAGTAAAAAAAGTATAATAAAAGCATAATGTGATAAATAGCAATTGAAATCCTAAAACCCTAAATATTTCAAAGTCTGATATGCAAAAATCGTAATTACTGAAAGTCCACATCATTCAGTTTTTCTAAATTTTAACTGTACAGAGAAGACAAAAATTCCAGGAGAAAGTTAGTGAATATTTTATGAATAGTTTATATAATTTACAAACGAATTTGTAGTCATTAAACATGGCGTGTGTCAGTCTCATAAGTTGATAATAGCTCTATAATAGCATTAACTTTTTGTGAAGTAGTGAACTTAATAACGCATTTCATGTAGAAGTTCCAGCCACTGACTGGCTTTCTGAAATGAAAATTTTCCGAATTAGAAAACAAAATAATCAATGACCTAGATCTACTTTTTCTCCACACATGCACTGCTTTGAAGATGAGAGGCTTTCTTGAAAAGAAATAAAAAGGAAACGGATTTAAGTAACCTTGATGGAGTAGCCGTTTATTATTTATATTTGGCACAACATTGAACTTTCTTCCACTTTAGAAACGGTCTTTCAAATTTTGTCGCCAAGTGTTTATGGAAAATTTTAAATTGTAGCTGATTTAAAAATAATTTGGCCGTGATAGTTTCATTAACATGGATTTATCAATATGCTGTTTTATTTTCCAATTGTTAGCATCGGCAATAATCCAAGTAAGTTTAATATTATGTTTTAAATTTGATATACTTATGTATTTTGTATGTTTAATCTTTAAATATTCATTTTTATTGCAGATCTTCGGTTTAAAAAGTTATAAGATATTTTCTCTCTTCTCTCTGCATGTCTTTGTGGTGTAACTGGAAGCACACTCGAGGCATATTCGGGAAGTCTGGAGGTTACATCTCGGCCAGGATATTGTATTTTCTCCCTCCTTTCCGCATGCCTTGGTGGTGTAACTGGAAGCACACTCACCGCGTACTCGGGGAATCGGGAGTTGGAACCCCGACGAACGCACTGCACAATTTTCACATCTCTAGCATCAAAAACTCTAATGACTCTACAAAGTCTTTTTTCGACTTAATTGATGAACAACTGTATTTAAACAATATTTATCAACCATATTTTAATAGTTCTTAGCCCAAAGGGGAAATTTACTCAGAACGGCTATTAATTTCGTTTTGGCATTTTGCGTTGGTTCACTGTAAACGACGTTTCACTTTCCAAATATTAAAGCCCTGCATTAAAGAAATTAAATAATGAAGAATATGCATGAATGTTTGTATGTTTCTTGCACTGTGAAATAACCAACCGTACATAAATTTTGAATAACCTAGTTCTCTACTCTAACATGAGCATCTAGACGCCCACATTTGGAATTCGCTTTATTATATATTTCATATTTTGTAAAACCTTACCGATTTTTTTGATTAATGAACTCAACGATTTCAAAGCGAGCAATAGCAACATTGTACGCAAAAAACATTTTTATCTCCAGACTGTGTATCGGAAATTCTAAAGATAAGCTCTTTTTAAACTATTTTGTGATACTTCTGTTGAATTGAATTTTATGGTTTAAGTGCGAAGAACATGAAATTTAATAAATAAATGTTATACACAAAACGTTAAAAAAAGGCCGTTTGGGCTTAATATAAAATACAAAAGCTTTCAGATTTTTTTTCATTTTTATATTAATTCATATTCGTCTTTAATTTCGCAATCAAAAAACTGTTCTAGTGATATTTTGGAGATTATAAAGTAGTTTCCACATGGAATTTTGGCTTGTAAAATATATTTAAACTTCAACAGTCTCTTGTTCAATGAACTACGAGTTCATTCATTTTACCTAAATACAACAGTGCTTTAAGTATGTTAAATTAAGAATTTAAGTATGGAAATATTGGCATTGAATAATTCACAATTCAAAGTTAAAATTAATATCTTGTAGAAAGTTTCATCATATATTTCAAGAGGACGCATTAATTGTATGAACACGCTAACTGTTTCGTCCTTCGTTTTTAGTAAACAGAAATTTACCCTCTCCCATCTCGAGCTGTAAATATGTCCAGAAACATACACCTCAAATTTCATAAGTTTTATGATAAATTTTCGTGGGAATGATAATAAAATTTAAGATTCATAATATCCGTGGCTACAGATTCTGAATTAATTAACTTGATATTTAACGGGAATTCAGCTTGCCATTGTCACCGAACGTTTTTGAAATTTTCTGCGTACAAAAACATTAACTGAAATCCATTTGATTCTTGAGTATACTTCGCTATTTATTCTTATTACTAGTACGTTCATTAGCATCCGTCCAAAAATGAAGTCAAAAAAGATTAAAAGCAATGACTCATGAGGATCAGAATATCTTGTTTTTAAATTTAAAATACCTTCATTCCTAACTAGAAGTATTTTATATCAGCAGCTGTATGAAATCTTTTCTCCGGAAAATTTCATGCAGCGTTTTTTTAAAATCGACCATCATACACGCTTTCAGCACGTTATTTTTTGATTTGATGGTTTGTTAAAAACGTTTTTCATTTTTGAACTATTCATTATATTGTAAATCATTTCCAATTCAAACTCTTCTTTATTGAATGGCTAGTGCAGTCCACACATACACCAATCTTTCAACGAAAGATTTGTCTGAAAGATTTAATACATCCTGAATATTATGAGCTTATGATATTAGATCATCAAAGTCCAATTTTTTCTTAAATTCGGTACGATTTACTATGGAAGGCTTCATGAAATTCAGTGTAATGTTATATTTGCTGCCGAGAGAAGCAGAAGTCAAAAGTAATATTTTTGATACTGAATTTCTGCAATACTTCTCAAAGTAATTTATCGAAGCAACAGTGTTTTCTTAAGTTTCGGTTTTCAGTATGCAAGAAAAATCAGAGAAGTAGCTCTTTCTTTACATGTGCTACATTTATAATATTATTTCTTTTTCCTAATTTCTAAAATGTTTCATTAGATTTGGTTTTCACTTAACCTTCCTAACAAATTATCATTTAATCATAATCTGTCCTTCTTCGAAAAGAAGCATCAGAATCTTTGAGTTTCGTGGTTTTATATCTTTCCTTAATGACTGGCTCATGGGAAATATCACAAAGGAGAGTAGTTTCCTTTGCGTGTTTATAGGCCATAGTTTCTATAATTCATTCTGCAAACTAAATGTTATTTCTGCATTGTAAAATAGAATTCATTGCCTAACAGCTAGTTCTAAATAGTAATGCTTAATCATTACGATTTCCAGATACGTGGGGAGAAACACAGCTGATTAAATAAATAAATATACATATAAATAAATAAATTTAAAAATTAAATTAAAATATAAATGAATAAAAAACTTAAAATAAAATAAAATAGTTACAATTAAAGTCTTGCTTGAAACTTTTTATGTTATTCTACTAACTGGAGATTAGTGAAGTCCAAATGATGAAAACACAGCTTTAGAACGA